GGGGGGGGTGGATGCCATCTCTTTGAGTGTGCAACCCTGAGCATCGCATTTTGGCCCTGCCTGGCCCCTCCTCAGGCTGCTTTTTGCGCTTTACAGGCGCCGTGCCTGTGTGCGGCACATTGTTGCTACCTTGTGTCCCTCGCCTAGGACCAAAGGAAGCCCTCATGGAAGCACCAACAGCGGCGGTGCCAGCAACTTCTCCAGGCCGCAGCACCCATAGCAGAGAGACATGGATGCCCGTCACTTGCACCCCGGGAGGGGAGGATGTCATGGATCGCAAGCAGAGGGTACCGGACGGTGTGGGCCGGGCCTGGGTTGGGTTGGCAGCTGGAAAGGAGGATGGATGATGGACTCAGGGGTGGAGGGGCGCGATGCCGGATGTGGTCTAAGGCGCGGGAGCAGAGACCAGAGGAGCAGGGATGGGACAAGTGGGGACCACATGGAGGATAGAGGGGAGACAGAAAAAAAAAAGAGGGAGAAAAATGAGCGTTGCGGGACGGTCGGGCGGGCGAGTCAAAGGGAAAGAGCTACCAAGACACCAAGCGACAAGGGGTGGAAAAACAAAAGATGGGAGGGAAGGGACGCAGTGCTGCTGCGTCGCGTTGCGCCTGCCCTTGCAAGAATCGCGTGACAGTCAATGCAGGGAGCGCAAATCGAAATGAGGAAGGCCAGGGCGGCAACCAGGGCAAACGAAGCAGAGAATCCCACACAGCAAAAGGGGAAACACGCAAGTGTCAATTCCGACGGTCTTGGTCTCGGAGCGGCTGCAAGCCCCAAGGCCGGCGGGTCGGTGAGGTGCCCTATCCAGGCGCGCCCTTAGCCGACGGCGACTGATCTGCCCCCCAGGGCTACAAGAGCCGTCACAGCATCGCCGCCGACAGTGATCCTTTGGAGCCGACCGTCCACGGTGAATGGCCGGACGGGCTGGCCAATATCATGAGGGGAAGCGCTCGACATTGTCGCATTCGATCCTCTAGTGTCTGGTGGCCTCCTGGTCTCTATGTCTGCCGCGCGCTGGTGCCGCCGTCGCAGCCTCTGGCCGCGGCGAGCGCACGACCCACACCAAAGCCTCAGCTACTGGGCCGGGTCATCTGGCTGCAGTTGTTTCTTTGCTTTTTGGTTCTGACCCTTCGCTTCACTTCCCGCTTCCGCCTCGGCGTCACGCCGGGCTTGGATCCCTGGCGGAGTTGCGCGCGCAATGATTAGCGTTGGGGTCACTGTTCGATCCAAGGAAGGAACAAGAGATATACTGACAGGCAGAAATAAACACCAATAAAAACAACCCAGCCAAAGCCATATAAAAATCCCCGCCCATCCAGCATGGGATTTGCAAGTCATCACCGAATGGAATCTGTTTTATCTTTATCAACAGCTCACAGACCAACGGAATCAGAGCTTGTGCGCCACAACGCTGCTAATCGTCGCCCTAGTCTAGCACTAGGAATCTGTGCCTGACTAACAGCAAAAGCGTCCGTTCGCCAGAGGCGCCACGAATCAATCCCCTTTTCTGAAGGCAGCATGCATCTTGTCACATCCATGGCAGTCCAGCCCGGGTACTTTCCCGGGTACTTTCAAGCACTCAAGCACTCAAGCACTAAGCACCCGGACACTTGATACCTTGACTGAGCAGTATGGATCGAATCGCTGCGATCTAACTGTGCGCTGCACCCAAGAGTTGCATAGGGGCGTCACAGGCAAGCAGACGCCCTCTACCAAGATCGTCGCAAGGCAGAAGACCCAAAGCTGAGCAAGCCTTCTGAACGCCAGGTCGCAACAGTGTCGCACTAGGCTTTCGAGTATGGTAAGCCGAGGGATGATGGTGCAAGCACGGTGCCTCCCTCCCTACCAAGGTAGCAAAGTGAGCACAACGCAAATCAACGAAACCACCCCGGCCTGGCCCCGGCCTCTCCCGACGGTCTGGACCCAGTCAGAATTCACGCCACCACCCTCTCCGATGCACCAAGTGCAGCCCAAATCGTCCGGGTGGGATTGATGCCGCGAAGAAAAGAAACCGCCGCTGGGTGACACCCCCTTTCTAAAGCCACGAATAGGAAGCGAGACAAAGAGTAATGGACTGCATCTTCCTGTCCCTCTGGCGTCGCCGTGTCCTCGCGGGCGGCCATCCGGGAGGGTGGGGTGGGTTGGATCAGCGTGGTGTGTTCTGCCTGCCGAGCCCAGCCAGGCTCTCAGCAGGCGTCAGGCCAATCCTCTCCGCGGCATGGCAGAGAACCGATCCGCTCGAGGCTGTTTGCAAAAAGACCTGGCAAAGCCAAGAGGTTAAGGGCCCAGGACAGGGGGGCCTGGTGGTTTAGTGGACCTCAAGCGAGGCTGTTTTGTGGGGCCATGGCTGTGGCCTTTGGCTCTGGTTCCCGACTGAGGTCCCCGCACAGTCGTCATTGGCCCTTCCTCCTGACCCTGGACCCTGCAGGTCGCTCCCTCCTTGTTCCCCAGCTTATTTGGATGAACGGTGAACTCGTGAATCAATCCAGTCGTCTTTGAGAATGAGGATTTTGCTTCGTGAGAGGTTCTCATAGGCTTTTGGCATCTTATATCACATCGTTCGTCGCCGTTTCTTTGTCTTTTCTTAGATCTTTTGGTCTATATTTAACACGGCTGAGCGACACTAAATACGTCAACTTTGGATCGAGTTCACGGGGTCCTTGTTAGGCGAGCAGAGCAGTTATGCTGGTTCACCAGTTGCCCCATCTCATCCCATCTTTTTGCCGCTTGCAGCCGTGGCCGCTGCAGCTGGGCGCTAGGGCGAGCACGGGCGCCAGGCACACCCAGATGACTACTGTGTGCCTGATGTCCAAGTGCCTCGGTAGGTACCTAAACCTACTTGGCAGATACTTCAACCCATCCCGCTGCGTTATTCTCAATGGCCCCCCTCAATTCTCAGTCACGGGCCACCAATCCTCATCATCGGCGCCATGGTGCCCAACTGCCCGCCCGCTGATCTCGTCCGCCCCCGGCCTCAACAAGCTGGCACTCCTAGCACGCCCCGTCTCCAGAGCTGATGCGCTGCGCTAATTGCCGATTCCGAGATTTCCGGAGCTGACAGAGGACCTCAGCGATCGCAGGGGTGTAGCTAGAATGCCCCATATTTTTCTGCCATACCAAAACAGTCAGCAGGGAAAAGAATGTTCACTTTCGATATCATCACGAGTGGTTGAATATTCTGCTTTCGGCCTCTCCACCTATCTACCCACCACCCATGTCTTGGTTAACCTGGAAGAAAGTGAAAGTCGAATGAGGCCAACGGCCCTTAAAACGGAGCTGAGGGAGCAAAGCACGCCCACGAACGACAGAGGGTCACTTTTGTAAGTGGGGAACTTCGCTTACCGTTCCCTTTGATTCGCGGTCGCCAAATGCATGCCAGCTTGCAAGGGCCCCCAGGAAGCCGTCCGCGGGCAAACACCAAGCGCCACGACCCTGGATCCGCTCGCATCGAGAGCCTTGCCCAGAGTGGCGGCATCGCCGCTCGTGTTCAAGCTCCTTGAGGCAGGCCGCCCTTCGTTTACTGCACTCCCCCGAAAGCGAAGACCCCCGCATCGCCCCCGTGCGTGCAAGCCGGCTGACGGGTGAGGGAGGAGGTTTCTAAAGGGGCCTAGAAGCCAGGAGACCGCTAGCGAGCACCTCGGACGGTGAGCGATGCTTGCCTCTAGGCCGCGGCAGAGGAGCGGGGCAAGCAGTGAGGAGACGAGAAGAAGAGAAGAATAAGAGAGAGAAAAAAAGCCGCCACCCGCGCGGCACGCCTCGCCGCATTTGGCAGTCTCGCCGGCCGCCTTTTGCCATGTCTTGCCTGCCATCCTTGAGATGGGCGGGCGGCCAACCACCACGGATCCTTCGCACATGCCGCCGAAGGCGGCGGGGGGGTGCTGGGAGAAGAGCGACGATGGAGAGACGATTGCGCTTGCGAATGACTCGTTGGTGGTTGCTGCGGGCGGGTCGGCCAGGCAAGCTTAGGAAGGTGGTGGTTGGGTAATGACTTTGTCATCTCGTCTTACCTTATCCTTTCGCTTGCTGGATTTTTTTTTTTTTCGCCCTCTCTCTCTTCCTATCAAAGCACCTCTTCATGATAGATCACATTCGACATTTGAAAACTCTCGGGGAGGCTCCACGTATAAATCACACAAATACAGTCACATTTTCTCTCCTTCGCTCCTTACGATATGGAACAGGATGCGGAAAAAAAAACCCCCCGAGATGAACAGCAAGACGGGGAGCCATAATGGGTCAAAAAAAAGGGTTCATGGTGGGACAGCAAGCACAGCACCCGGCGGTCAGTGCCCCGCGAGCTGGCTTGCTGGCTGCAGGCAAAAAGGGGCTGGTTGAGTGGTTCTGAGCTTATCGATGGCGGTGGAGTCGCGTCCCCGCGGATGGAAGGACTCGTTTTTGGCCGTGCTCTCTCAGTGGCAGGCTCAAAAAGAACGTTGTGTCACCTTCCCAACTCCTCCTCCTCCCGCCGGTGCCCACGGGCCATCCAGCCCAGCTGGACACGCCGCAAAGTTACACCGCACCGGCATGACGGAAGGGGACTCTATTTTTAACCACCAGCATGGTGTGGATGCCACCCTGTAGTGGTACCCACGCAGCGCGTCGTGCGTCTCGCGTCGTCGTCCAAAGTCCCACACCATTGGTGGGCCTGTGAAGGGCCTGTGGCATCAAAGTCCCGCAACCTGTCAGGTCTCTCGCAACTTCCGCGAGCGGTGCCAGCACACAGGGATGCATGATTCCACCCCCACTTTGCCCATCCATCCACGAATCCATCCCATCCCGCCGACTGGCAGGCTGGTCTGCCTCCTTGCCGTTGCCGTTGCCGTGGGCAGGACGGGCGGGATTCGTCTCGTCCGTTTGCTTTCCCCCCTCCCCATCCACCCGCCGACAACGGTCTGACGGACCTGCCGAGAATCCCCCCCTCCCTACGCCGCCGTCGGCCAGACGCACAGCGAAAAGGACTAAGGGCAGTGCTCAGGACGGCGGACGGGCTGGGACGCATCGGAACCCTCTTTTTTTTTTTTTGTCATGACCAATTATCTGCCCTGTCTCAGATCATGACCACCAACTTTTCTCACCCAAGTCGGTCCATTGGCTGTAAGACTGGCAGTGCTCAGCGTAGGGTTGCTTCCGGCCCCCGTGCTTAGCAAGACGACTCATGTGATTAGTGCCTAACGAGGAACTAAAAGCAAAGACTAGCCCGTGAGGAAGAGAAGGAAGAAAGAAAGAAATAATTTTTTTTTGACTTCCGCAAGAAGCAAGCCGGGGATCCCGCAGGGTCTCTTTGGCGCGAACGCCGGGCCGTTAATCTGTGCGGTATAGGAGGTCCATGCCACACCTCGAGGATACTCCAAGAGGGGGGCTGTCGATTGCCGGTGAATATCTCTCGGCAAGGTGCTCTGACAATCTTTGCGACAGCTGAATCCCGGGGTAGAATGAAGCTACTGCAGCTTCAGGGAAGGCTGGCATGTCGATCTCATGTGTTCATCAAGAACGGCAAATGTGTTTGGAGTGCGAATTACCGGCATCCCGGGCCTAGCATGTGCGGTGTCGCGCAAAAAAGGAAGAAGAAGATGAAGCAGAAAAATGAAGTACCACAGATACAGGTGCCGGACGCGAGGTATCTTTGATTCGCCCTGGGGACTTTCATCACAGCTACACGCGACCAGCGAGCTACCATGAAGAAGAAAAAAAACTCGGCGTTTTTGCCCCCCCGCGCCCACACACGAAGCAATTGCCTCTTTCGGACCCCCCCTCACCACGGAAGCAATGGCGAGCGCTAATCCGACCGGGCCCGACCTTACAGTTGTTCCCGAGAATTTGGGAGCGGGCTGCGCTAATCAAATTGACATGAATGGCCCACAGCATGGACAGCCCTCGCGGATGTGAGCGAAGGGGTAGGTAGGGTTTCTGGTAACCAATGTTTCCCCTGTGCGGCTTGCTGTTGTTCACCTTTGATATTCAACACCCGAGTGCCATTCATATTCTAGCCCCACAAAATGTTTGCTGGCCCCTTTACAGCCCAGGCCAGGTCCTTCCGCTTAGATCCGAAGAGACGAATCAAAACAGGCGAAGAAAAACAGGAGCCAAGGTTGCCCACCACAAAACAGAGGTGCCCACGCCAAACACCTTGGTGGTGTAGCTCTCTCACGGAAGCCAAAGCGAGATGGCGTACTTTTGGTGTCTTGCCGCTCCCCAGCTCTTGGCGCAGCTCCGGGTGGTGATTGGCCGCTGAACGACAGCCACAATCGCAAGCGGCTGCTCCGGCGTCGTCGTGCCGCGCGGGGCGTCATGAACCACCGATGCCAACGCTTCTGGTTCGAGTGGCTGATCTTGATTTGCTTTCTCTCTTTTTTTTTTCTCCTTTTTTTTTTTCTCTTTTTTTTCTCTTTTTTTTTTTTTTTTTTTGCTGATCCGGAATTTTTTTTTGGGGGCGTCACTAACAAAAGAACGAGCGGGTGGTTTCCGCCTTGATTTCAGCCCAGAAGGTACCGCACAGGCAGAGCGCACCTTTGCAAGCGCCCAAGCAAAAGAACATTCCCGCTGTACGCGGTCAGGCGGCACAGAGATTCTTTCCCCGACATATGTGAGATGACTGTGTGGCGGGGAAGTCACACATCTGCCAACCCCAGCCGAGGGTTGGTGTCGGCGCCCCTCTTAGATACGTCTACTCCCCTCTGATGGCGGCATGTAAAAAAGAAAAGGCCTACTCGGCACGTTCTCCTCTTTTGGACTCGACCCGAGGGCAGCGGGTTGCCAGACCCGCGAGCCATCGACTCTCGTGATATCCTGCGTTGCCGCCTTGTGCGCCTCGATGTCGGACGACATTTTCGCTCTGCGTCGACGTAGCGAGCGCACAAGCCCGCATGGGATTCTTGTCACGTATCGTCAAAGCAATACCCAAACATCGAAGGGTGGGAATCGCTATGCTGGGGTAGCGAGCCCGAGTTAATTTGGAACCCGCATTGCGACGGCGGGTTCGTCCTTATTGCCATTTATTAACCTGCATCCCCCATGCTGCCCATCCCATCTGCCATGGCGACTGGGCCCTGCCCCGTCTGTCACCGCCAGGTTGGGCCCTGCATTTCCCAGGAGCATCGAAAAGCTTGGGATGAACGCGGGGTCCACGGTTTTATTTTATTTTATTTCTTTTTTACCTAACGCCGATCTCCCGCGGGAGTGTGGCATCGGCGACAACGATCAGGTGCCTCGGCCGGGGCGGGCGTACCTTGCGCGTAGGTAGGTACAGCACTTCTCGGCACCGATCCTCCGAAGGATAGCTCGGGGATAGAACATACCAGGCACAGGCACCTGGCTGGAACACGAACCCAGGGAAAAGGACGTAAGCTTGCGTTGCTTGCTCGCTCACCCAAGAGCCGCAGCAGCGCATCCCCAGTCTCCGGCTTACCCTGTGCCCTGATGGAAGTGGACTGTCGTATCCCAAGTGGCCAACGCGCATGCCGGTGGACCTGGCACAGTCTCACCCAAAACCCCCCACGTCCGTTGGGCGGCGGTAAAGCGCTGGGCCCGGCAGAGCGAGAGAGAGAAAGAGCCTGGCATAGTCGTCCGCTGAACCCGGGAAGAAAGACGCCGCCCAGGAAAAGAAGCCGACGAGGCGCAAAAAACGCGCGCGCACGCACGCGCCCAAGTTGAAATGACGACGATGCAAGACAAGATTTGATATTGGCTCGTCCGTGGGCCGC